TGTTTCATGGCTCCATTACTGTTCAAAGAGGTAAAGAAGGAATCCATGTAGGAAACAGAATCTCACCTAATTAGTAAGGCCTGGCCTTCCGCCCCCACCCCCATAAACTCATTTATCAGATATGTTCCTATTTTAGCCAGTTATTTTAAAAAGCAAATATTCTTTATCAGGGGTGTCTCGATTTTAACCAATTACTTTATTGCATTTTTATTACAAGTGCAAAGGTTAGGCAAAGTTGATGCCTGCTGTCTACATGGCCCTTAGTCACAGCAAACACTGCTGGTCAGGGAACTTTGGAACCAGGCTTCTTATTGTCCAAACTGTCATTAGTGCCTAAGTAATTATTATAAATGTCATTTATATGTCAACCATTATGTCGAAAGTCTTCCCAAGTTCAAGCGCACCAGGGGAGAAATCACCCCCGCCTTGGATTCCTCTGATAATCTTGAAAGATTTTTTTTTTTCAGCCCTGAACGGATGTGTATAAAGTGGCTTTTTTGTGAAGCACGTCTCAACAGCACTACCTGGTAATAAATAGAGGTTGATAGAAGCACAAATATTAATTACATGGTGGGTTCATTTGAGCTCAAACTATCCATTTGAATTTTGAAGTTTATTTAACTATTTGTCTTGAATGAGCTTTTCGCTTATTCGGACAATCACTTGTACAGTGTATTTCACTGTCTCAGAGAGGAGATAGAAAGTGACGGGGCCAGAGAACAGAAATGGACACAGATATTTTAAGGGTTTAGAGGGTTCCCAACATTCACCCAGAGGATTCTTCTCTGAGTTCTGATCTCCCTCTGGTTTTGTTGCGTCTCTGTAGAGAAGACTTTGGGAGGTGAGGAGAGGACTTTGGGAGGCGAGGAGGGGAGGACTTTTGGAGGTGAGGAGGGGAGGACTTTGGGAGGTGAGGAAAGGACTTTGGGAGGAGGGGAGGACTTTGGGAGGCGAGGAGGGGAGGACTTGGGGAGGCGAGGAGGGAAGGACTTTTGGAGGTGAGGAGGGGAGGACTTTTGGAGGTGAGGAGGGGAGGACTTTGGGAGGCGAGGAGGGGAGGACTTTGGGAGGCGAGGAGGGAAGGACTTTTGGAGGTGAGGAGGGGAGGACTTTGGGAGGTGAGGAGGGGAGGACTTTGGGAGGTGAGGAGGGGAGGACTTTGGGAGGTGAGGAGGGGAGGACTTTGGGAGGTGAGGAGAAGCAATGAGCGTGGGGAAGAGGCAGAGCCCCGAGGACCACTGGACTGACTGTCCTGACTTAATGCTTTTGTTTTAGGGTCAGAATGAGGGCTCTGATGGGCTTTACCGCCGGCCGGCTCTGCGGTCTTGGGTAAGTCCCAGCACCTCTTGGAGCCTTAGTTTTCTCCTCTGTATGTCCGTGGATTCTGCTGGATGAGTCTTGCTCCAGGTGTGGTCCACTAGCATCACCCACTGCTCATTGAAGGTGCATCTTCTGGCCCTCGCCTCGACCCGCTGATGGCTGGGGTGGGCCTGCGAGTCTGCATGTTTAACCCGCCCACGGGTGCTGCTCCCGCCCTCCAGCTGAGGGCCACTGGATAGCCGGGCCCTGGGGCTTCTTTCGCGTTTGCAGTCCACGCTGCTGGCAGGGACTGGTATGGGTGGCTGACACAGGTATCTATATGGTGGCTGGGGCCGAGTTTGGCGGACAGCTTGACGAAGCATGAGTTTCAGGAGAGAGGGACTGTGGTTGGAGAGGGGATCCGCAGTTCTGGTTGTGTCCACTTGCACTTCCCTGAGACACACCGCCTTCTGCTGGGTGAGTCTGGGCGAGGCCACTGTCTAGGTGGAGTGCAGAGACCGCGGGCAACCCTCTCCAAGTTCTGTCTGCTCCTTGTAGACCAAGATGGTCTGACAGTCAGCTTTACCCCCATGATGTAGCTGCGGACGTACCCTTCATTTCCAGAGCGGTGTGAAATTTGAGCAGACTTTTTCTCCCTCTTCTTCCTCCCTCCCCTTTCCTCTCTTTCCGTCTCTCCCTCCCTCTCTTCTTCCATTTGCCTTGCCCCCATACGGACATTCCGGATCTCCTCGACAGGCTCTCTAGAATGGTGGCAGCTGACTTGACCTCTCACCAGGATGTCCGGTGGAATAAAAAAACTCCCAGAGACCTTGCAGCCCCAAGAATCTATGCCTCTTTACTTCCCCAAAGGACAAGCCCATCAAGTTAATAACCTACCTGTACACCAGGAGAGGTGATTCATTAATTAAAGGTTGGCCAACAACACAGGACGGGGCCGAGGAGTGAGCGGGTCCCACTGCGGTTTCCAGCTGCGTCATCGCAGAGGGCCCCGCTCGAGTCCTGCCTCGTGCACGGCTGCCCCGGGACCGAGCAGTCGTGTTCTTCTCCGTGTCTTGCAGCCCGGCCTCCATCACGCTGTGTTTGTGAGCCTGTGCATCCCTGCCATGGTGGTGAGCTCTCTGAGGTGGGCACGGTCTTCTTCCTTGGATTCCCCAAGGCCCAGCAGTGTTCCTGGCCCAGAGTAGCCCTTCATATTTGCTGTGGCTACAAACGGAGCCCAGGTTGGGTGACTTAACAGACATTTACTCTCTCTCAGTTCTGAAGACCTGAAGTCTGGGATCCAGGTTTGATTTCTCCTGAGGCCCTTCCTTGTCTTGGAGATGGCCTTGACTTACAGATAAACACCCTGAGTCCAAATGCAGTTCTAGGAATTAAGAGTTCCCCTTCTTATTAGGACACAGTCCTGGATTAGGGCCTCATTCAACTTAATCAGCCCTTTAAACATCCAGACTCCAAATGCAGTACTGGGAATTAAGACTTGAATATATGAATTTTGGGGGGATATAAGCCCATAACACCTTCAACAAGAGTCAGGGAGCAAATGAATGAACCAGGAAGATGGCAGTCTGTGCTCAGCTCTCTTTACAAATGGACAGTCTCCTCCTTACCTCTTCCAAACACACATAAATAAGCATGGAAGTTTTATTGGATGATAAATGAACAGGAGGATAGATTCTTTTTGTTTTTTTAATAAAATTGAGGCTACTAATGATCAGACACTTGTGATCAGACCAGAACCATCACAAGATCTGGTGGCTACAGACAGTATTAAGGTTTTGTGTCTTCCTACATTCTTGAGTTCCTGGGAGGTCTTGTAGCAGAAGATTCCACAGAAAGACAAGTTTTAGTTTTGCACCACTTTTGTCAGCATGACTTTTCAACTTCCCCTTTATGTAAGTGTGTGAGCAGTTGAATGTGCGTCTGCTAGATTGGAGTTGGGGATATGAAATCCTGGTGCAGTTCTCATGCCCCAGGCAGTCTTCTGTGCCTCTGGAGCACCTGATCAGAGTTTTCATAAAGCACAAAGCTACAGTGGCTCCAGGAATCCCTCTCACTCTTACCAAGTCCTTGCATCAGCACCCTTCTCATGCTCCCTTGGTGTTTGGAGTGGGTTGTACTTTCCAACACTGGTGTGAGTCTAATTCGTTTGGGGCCTCATACCAACTCTGAGAGGTAAGAGGGGAAAGGATCACGCTTCCCTTTTCTCAATGGGGAGAGGAATGAACAGATCAGTTATATACGCACAACTTCCCTGACCTGGAGTTCTTCCTCTGCCCAGCTCCAGGGTGACTTGTCCAGGTGTCACTCCCACGGATCTTAACCTCTTCTCACCTTGTATTTTCTGTTCCCCGCCAAGCTTCCTGGAAGTAGGATTCAAACATTTAACCGCTATGTGAGTCCGTGTGCCTGCACACAGTCGGTGCTCAATCATTACTTGTAACGGAGCATGCATGGTACCATCTCGAGCAGCCACTGTGTCCTGGCCACTGGGCTTTCTACCTTCACATACTCCGCCTCATTTAACCCTGCAGCCCTCTGAAGTAGGTATACTTTTCATCCCCATTGAACAGAGGGGAAGGCTGAGGTTAGCAAGCTTAGATGATTTGGCCAAGGTCACGGAGCCAGTAAGTGGTAGAATCAGGATTTGAACCTGGGGACGCCTGACGGGTCCAGCTGCTGGGTTTTATCTCTGCTCTGCACTAAGAACTCCTTGCTCTACACAAGGAGTTAAGAACCTACCAGGCTAGAATCTGGGTCTCCTTTCTCGAGGTGTTGGTACCCAGAGCCCCAGCGCAGCTGGTGAGCATCCTTTCAAATGCTCCACAGGGCGACGTTTTCCAGTTTCACAGGCAGCTTAAATTTCCCATTGTCTAATCTCAATTTGGCTCATTTTACATATTTCTGATTAAATGTGCCTCCTTCAGGACACATATGTGCTCCTACGCACACACATGACTTTGTTCAACTCAGAGAGCTCATTGCCAAGCCTGAAAACAGACCTCGACATTTCTTTTTCTTTTGTTTTCTTTTAGGCCACGCCATGCAGCATGTGGGGTCTTCGTTCCCCACCCAGGGTTTGAACCCACGCCCCCTCCGTTGGGAGTGCAGCGTCTTAACCGCTGATGGTTGGGGAAGTTGAGATCTCAACATTTCCAAGTTTCTCTCCTCTCCCAGATCTTGTCTCCATCCCCCTAACCCCAAGCAGCCAGCCTGAGAATTTGGGCTTTGAAATTATGACCTTCAAGGGCATGATTCATTCCCCAGTGTCCTTTTAGAGGACGCAGTCTGCAGAGCTGGCAGTAAATAAGTAAAGTATCATTTCCCTTTGGAATTAGCAAAACAACAACAACAACAAACCAAGGAAGGGTGAGTCTTGTTTTCAATAGGGAATGTACAGCTCACAGTGTAATTATGGCCGAATGGCTATCAGTAATATAATTGTCAAAGCGTGTTTTAGGACGTGGAGTTGTCAGAAATAGTAACTGCATTTCCATGTCCCGCTTCCTCTCACAGTAAGCCTGACTGGCCCAAGAAGGGGTCTCACCCACGCAGCCAGTCCTGCAACAACCTGCCCCAGATGAGCTCCAGCCCCCAGGAGCCAGGTGTGTGCTTCTGCAGGCTGCATTTGGCTGTAAATTACATTTTCTTTTCTGCCAGCTGCCTGACAGCTAAAATCATACCTGCTGTCAGAAGTGACAGGGGCCACAGTGGTGACGTACAGACGTGCCGCCGGGTCTCGGGGGAGCAGGCGGGCCAGGTCCTCCGGCCCCTCGGCCCTGACCTGCATCCTGCAGGGCGTGCCCAGAGCCGGTGTGCTGGGTGCAGACAAGTCACGGCTGGAGGCTCATCAGAGTCCTGGAGGTCGTGGCCAGCTTTCACACGGAGCTCTTAATAGGCTTAAGATGTTGGCAAAACCCTACCCCTTAATTGCATTGTAGGGCAAAATGCAAAATCCATCACCATAATTACTTCCAAGCACTAGATTCCAAAGCATTTTGGCTGTATTCAAATGGATACTTAAACTCACAGACAGCAGGCTTAGTTCTCCCCCAGTGGCTGATGGATTTTGGTCATTGTCCCAGTCCCCTCATGAGGCACGCCCCCACCCCCATCAGGATGCCTGCTTTTTCCATCTTTAGAGAACAGAGCCATGTGGTAAGCCCAGCCTTGAGGCTTCAGGCTTCTCTGCTGGCTCACCGCTAAAGAACCCCCTGCCAGTGCAGGATACTAGGGTTCAGTCCCTGGGTCAGGAAGCTCCCCTGGAGAAGGAAACGGCAACCCACTCCAGTGTTCCTGCCAGGGAAACCCTATGGACAGAGGAGCCTGGTGGGCTACAATCCATGGGTTGCTAAAGAGTCCAACACAACGTAGTGACTAAGCAACAACGCCCTAAATAGAAACATGGCATTCTCTTGTTCCACCCCAAGCCCTTATAAGCTGACCTCAGGCAGTCTCTCCTTTGGGTCTATCTAGATTCCTCCCCTCTCCTTTTCTTGGATTCATACTGGGTTCACAGGGGCACCTTATTAGATAGAATCTCGCCTCCTTTAAGGCATTATTGTTGGAAACTCACCACTCTGTCATGAGGGTCATGACCACGACCTGCGTGGGCCGCAGTCGTGTCTTACTCTTGGCAGCCGCTTGGACTGTCGCCCTCCAAGCTCTGTCCATGGGATTTCCCAGGCAAGAATCCTGGAGTGGGTTGCTGTTTCCTTCTCCAGAGGATCTTCCAGACCCAGGGATGGCATTCTCATCTCTTGTGTCTTCTGCATTAGCAGGTGGGTTCTTTACGAGCTGAGCCACCAGCTACTACTTATTCAGCCGTCACTGAGGACCAGCCATCATGCAGTGCATTAGATCCCCATCTACAGATCCCCTGGGCCCGAGAGGACCACCAGAAGGACTGGAGTTGGCCCACCTCCAAAGCCCACCCTTCTCTCTGCTGCTGCTGCTCCAAAGCTCCCAAGGGATGAGCTTGAGTGGCTTATTTATTTTTTTGAACAACAGGCTGACTTTATGGGCATGCAGCCATATACCCACCCAGGGCTCCATGCCCTCAAAGGCCTTGTGCTTGGGGCTTGATGGATGCGAGTGATCTGTGGATGACAGTCTGGAAATTCTTACTCCTTCTTTCTTTGAATTTGTGCTGTGTAAGGGAAGTCCGATGGACAGAGGCACTTGTACTGGGGCCATGGAGCCTCAGTGAAGCACATTGCCATTTCTGGGGCCTCCCGGCACCCCCAGAAAGGTTCTCAACTCCCTGTTTCCTGGTACCCTGGCACCCCAGGTCCTGCCCCCCTTCCCCTCTCTTCCTCTCCACCACTGCCGCCTTCTGCCTGGGTGTTGACAGGGGAGGCCGGGGTCTTCCTGCTGCCCTCCGGCAGGGCCTGAGTGTGAACTCGGGGAGGGTGGGGTCAGGTGTGTGCCCTTCCTCAGCTCGGGGTTGGTGGTGGCTGTCCCCACACTGGGCTGGGCTGCCAGGGCCTCTCACTCACCCCTAGCCCAGGTCCTAGTGTCCTCAACTGGTCCTAATGTGGGATTGTTGCCCGGAAGAACTAATTCTGACTCCATGTTCCACCTGTTTCTTTTGCTTCCCAGTTGCTTTTGTTCACTAAGTGGATACTCTTTATACATAAGGGTCTGCCTCGGGGAACCCTGCCCCTCTGTCTGGATATTGAACCAAAGTACCTTTGTTTGGGAGCCCTGTCCACCTGTGGGTGGCCCAGGAAGGAAGAGATTAACACATCCCCTAGGAGATATTTTCAAGATTAATGGGCTTTTTGCTTTGCTTCTTCACCTCTCCCCCATCTCTGTTCTATAAAAGAAATTGGCATCCAGACCCTGATGAGATGGTTATTTTGAGACATTACTCTGCGGTATTCTCGGGCTCCTCGTCTCAGCCGGTTGTGCGGGAAGCAGAGCTAACTTGGACTTGGTAGGAGAAGTAGCAAACCTCCCCGGGCGGCCCTCTGCTTGTGGGCTGGGGAGGCTGCCTGCCTTGGCCCTGGCCAGGGTGCTGCGTTTTCCTCTCACCTTGAGCTTCCCGGTGGCTCAGATGGTAAAGAATCTGCCTGCAGTGCCGGAGACCCGGGTTCAATCCCTGGGTCAGCAAGATCCCTGGAGGAGGGCCTGGCAACCCACTCGAGTGTTCTGGCTTGGAGAATCCCATGGACGGGGCGCCTGGCCGCTGCAGTCCTGAGATGCATGGAAACAGCGGCATGAGACAGAGAACATGACGGTAATTTGGGGGCTGGAGGGTGAGGGCCTCCTGGGAGCAAGTGTTCCAACACCTTGGCCTCACCTATATGAACACTTCTGGGAATATAATAGGCTCTCCATTTTCTATTTAGAAAAAGACATAAGTCAGTAGGAAAAGCAACAGTTTCCCTACAAGTGTCACAGACCTGAGAAGAAAAGCAATTGCAGTTAGCAGATGGGAAAGGGAGAGGTATTAGGTCTTAATTTCAAGACACAAAATTGGGTCCTTTTGATTTTTTGGTTTCTGCACAATAAACGTAAGGAGGTCAACGTCTGTCAGTCTCTGGGCCAGCATGGAATGACCCTGAAATATTTACAGGCCTGCTTGCCTGCTGTCCCACTCAGGGTCAGAGCAGACCCTGACATCCTAATGTGGTCCCTCGACTGGTGTCTTGTGGTATCATGGAATTCTCGAGTGTCAGGGCTGGAAGGAAACACATATATTCAAATCCTCATTTTGCCAAGAACTAAAGCCCAAGGCTGATGCTGAAGCTGAAACTCCAGTACTTTGGCCACCTCATGCGAAGAGTTGACTCATTGGAAATGACCCTGATGCTGGGAGGGGTTGGGGGCAGGAGGAGAAGGGGACAACAGAGGATGAGATGGCTGGATGGCATCACTGACTCGATGGACATGAGTTTGAGTAAACTCTGGGAATTTGTGATGGACAGGGAGGCCTGGCATGCTGCAATTCATGGGGTCGCAAAGAGTCAGACACGACTGAGCGACTGAACTGAACAGAAAGCCCAGGGAGACGTGCCTTTCTTCCTCACTTACTTAGGACTAAGACCAGAGATTTCGTGGCTCCTCATCCAGTATCTTTACCTGTATTAAAGGGGTGATAACTAGGCTTCCCTGGTGGCTCAGTGGTAAAGACTCCGCCTACAATGCAGGAGATGCTGGAGACATGGGTTCAATCCCTGGGTCAGGAAGATCCTCTGGAGAAGGGTATGGCAACCCACTCCAGCATCCTTGCCTGGAAAATCCCATGGACCGAGGAGTCTGGCGGGCAATAGTCCACGGGGTTGCAAAGAGCTAGACATGACTGAGCATGCAGGCAAGGCACAGTGAATACGCTAATGCTGCTGATTTAATACGCCCCAGGTAGAGAGCTAATCCCTGAACTCAGAACTTGGCTTGATTCTCACAAAAACCCTATGAGAAAGGTATTTCAGGCAAGTCTCCCCATAGGCATATGTAGCAGGCAATCCAACTGTGTATTACTTTCATGGCAGTTTCCATAGTAAAGCACCACAGAACGGGTAACTTAAATAACAGGCATTTGTTGTCTCGCCTTCTGAAGGCTGCAAGTCTGAAGTCAATGTGCTGGTGAGACTGGTTCCCCTGAGAGCTGTGACTGGTCTCTCTCCCGGCCTCCGGAAGCCCCAGGCTTCCCTGGGCTTGCAGACAGCCCTCTTCTCCAGGGGTCCTCACGTCCCCTGCCCTGTGTATGTGGCTCCGCACTCAGAGCTCCCCTTTTGATAAGGGCGGCAGTCATACTGAGTCAGGGCCCTTCTAAGGACCCTGTTGTATAGATTGCCTCGTAGAGATTCTGGGACAGTCAGGCCATGCTGTGAGGTGCTGGAGGTTTAGGGCTTCAGCGTACTTTTTTGGAGGGATAGGATTTAGCCCACAACAAATTAGAGAGAGAGAGAGAGAGGAGAAAGGAAGGAGATGAGGTAGTGAGGGACAGTTCTGTCCTGTTTCCAGCAGAAGACAGCTGTGGAAGGAGGTGAGACAGGCCCCGTAAACCTCCGTCTCTCCCCCATCAGATTCAGTTCCTAAGTGCCTTTCAAAGTAAGCCTCTCATTGCCAAGAATGTGATTATAATATTTCAGGAGAGTCATTTTTCACACAGCCTGGCTCCTGGAGACAAACCTGCTGGACCCTCTCAATGACCTGGAGAGGCCCGATCTGTGTGCTGAGCCATGGCTTGTTACCTCCATGAGGGGAAAGGAGACCACTGAACTGTGGCCTACTTAAGAGGTTTGCAAGGGAAGCTCTGACAAGTAAGGAGTCCTTCTGTAGCCACTGACTTTAGAATCCAACTCTGACACAGTTGCAGACACGCCTGCATTGTCTCCATGGTAACAGTGGCATCCCAGAAAAGCAGAGCGATTAAGTCCCTTCGTCAAGATCATCCAGCTAGAACAGCAGGACCAAGGAATTGACTGCATGTCCCCTCTGACCCCAAACTCAAGGACTGAGCCCGGGGGTCTAGGTTGTGGCTCAGGTAGACTTTGGAAGAATCCATTTTCCCCTGGAAGGGAGAATGTTTGTTCTATATATAGAGAGCAAACATTCTGTGCATGTATATATACACACACACACACACACACACACACACATATATTCTATGCATATATATAACATGTATATACATATAAGTTTATTTCTTTATTATTGAGTTTTGGCTGTGCTGGGTCTTTGTTGATGCATGTGGGCCTTTCTCTACTTGCAGAGAGCGGGCGCTGCTCTCTGCTTGCGAGGTGCAGGCTTCGCATTGCGGCGGCTTCTCTTGTTGCGGCT